ACCAGTAACACAACAATGAGAAGAGCCAAATTTTCGCCGTAACTGCTACGCAAATTTCCACTATGAATAAAAGATAAAAACTTACCGAAACTTTGGGCACGCTCGCTCGCTTTTTGCAAGACCCAATCGACATGTTCCGGATCATCGGCGTCTAAGGAAGCTCCTAAAAAAACTGTAGTTCTAGAAGAATACATACTTACACGTAGAAAAACACCCGAAGCTCAAGCTTATCATTTTTAAAAAATCAAAAAACAGGAGCTTTCTTACAGTTATTGAATAGAGCACAGGGTGCAGGCTATCACCGATAACCGGTTTTTGTAGTGTATCCAACCAAGTTTTCGGGAACTCCCAATTCCTACGTAGTTTTGGTTTGGAACTCCCTCAGAAGAGTATAACCAATTGAGAATTAGTATATAAAGAGCGGATACAAAAGTAAGACAAAATACCCCCAAGTTCACGACTCGAGACGCGACCGTTATAGATATGCTAAGGCGAATGTAGTACGGTGGAGGAGAACCAGGACGACTACTGCATTTGCCCCGACTTCAACCCTCCCACTAGGTGAATTCTAGGATTAGCGATAACAAGCAAGTGTCAAAAATCACAGAACTTTCACACGTACCATTGAAAGGTCCCTCTTCTGTCCACTGGATAACTTTTACGTACTCTACACAATGTTCCGGAAGCCTTGGCGTATGAGCAATCGTACATAATGGATAATTCACCTGAACTTCTCCAAGGAATTGTAAACTTTGCCTCAAACTTCACAGATTTTAATGTTCAAGCAAAGTAAAGCGAAGGAGAACGAACTCACCTGAGGTGGGAACAGGTCCAGGGTGCAATCAATGCAAGCAGACATTCTTGGATAGATTACTCTTGCGTTACCTTTGAATCCCTCCGTTCCTCCATCAATAAGTGGTATCACCGTGGATGTATCAATCTCACCATTTTCCGTTAGCACCAGATCGCACTAAAAGAAAAAAAATAACAGATATAGTAGTAGCGCCGATGCGAACTGTCATGTGGCTATGAAC